TATTGTGATTACTACGATACAAATTGCAATACAAATTACCTATTGTGATTACTACGATACAAATTGCAATACAAATTACCTATTGCGATTACTACAATACAAATTACCTATTGCTGATAACTGCCAATACTGTGACATCACATATTCAGGCTATCCTTTGTGATAATTGGTCCAGAAAGTGAGGTATGTGTTGCATTTCTTTGCAATACAAAACAAAAGACAAGCGTGGATTCATTCCAAAGCACAAGTTTTTTGCAGTAAAAAATCAGTTCTGCAAGATTTCGCTCAATATTACAGTGTTTTCATATTAATTTGAGACGCATATTCATATATTTTTAAATTGTTGTGTTCAATATCTTGTGGTATTTCAAGCAGGCACTGATTTATTGCCCAAATCAAATGAGTCACAAGAGACGTAGCAGTCTTGTGAACATTCATACTGGACTATGAAGATTGAAAATGTCTTGCCAGTGTGAAAGCAAAACAGAGGCAGTATTGGCAGTCATGAGTTACTTCCCATCTTATGAGGAAGCTGCCATTCCTGTCAAACAATAGATTATGCCATTTGATTAGGTCATAAGTTACACTATTATTGATTGTTGTCCATGGTTGTATTCAAACTAATGTTTTGTTTTTATTTACAGCTTTCAAAAATGCCACCTCCTATCAAATTGAAGGAATTGATTCGGAACATCAGGGCGGCACGGACACAAGCAGAAGAGAGAGCACTAGTGCAAAAAGAGTGTGCACACATTAGGTCTTCATTCCGAGAAGAAGACAACACTTACAGATGTAGAAATGTGGCTAAATTATTGTATATACACATGCTGGGCTACCCAGCTCATTTTGGGCAGGTGAGTTTGTAGTGCTAGAAGTAGCAATTGGCTTCATGAAATGAAGACATAAATATGGTCACTGTATGTACCTGAGAATAAAGGTGATTTGTTTTGACTTTATTTTATTGGGACTCTACATTTGGACATAAGATAAATCTTGTATGCCAAAATGGCTGTGTTCAGTTCTTGCTGAAATGTAAATGACTGATTGCATTTGACACTGGTTAGACATCTGTTTTTTGTTTTGTTTTCTTTGTTGTATTTCAATATAATATAGAAAATCGACTGTATATTATCCCAAAATTACATTTTTTTTAAATTGAGCATTGAGTTTGTGCTATTTACTGTATTATAACAAAATCTCTGATAGATGCACACTTAACCTATTCCCCAACAGACATTCTTGCCCAAATTAGTCTGCACTTATTTAGTCCTCGTTAGGACTGGTGGTGAAAATGTTAAACTAGAACATGGACTTATTACATGCTGTATCATTAAAAAAGTATGTATTCAATTACATAAGAGCGTGTACTGTATTTGACATTTGGACAGCTACACACACTGATTCCGCCACATTGTGTTTACTATTCCTGATAACTGGCAGACCATCATTTTCAGACTGCAGTCAGCAAAGAGCCGTTTCATTTTATTGTTCTGCAGTTATTATACTACACATCTGTGTTAAACATGAAAACCACTAAATTACCCAATTTGCATACCAGACACGGTTAAGTCAGCTGGATTCAGAATTCACCACAGGCTGCTGAGTGCTATGCAATTAGATCACATCAGTGACTTGAATATGTATTTTTTTGATTTTTGTTTCCTTCACAACAATTTGGTGTGCTTAAGTGGTAGTTCTTTTCGTGAACAATTTATAGTCAACATCCATGCTGAATCATTTTTTTTATCACAATCTTTTGTGTGTTGGGGATCATTACCGGATCCTGTCGTAAATTCGCCCATCCGAAAAATCGCTCACCAGCAATTTCAGGGCTGGTGGGCGCTTATTTGGGGTTCAAAATTTCAAAAATGATCATAAAATATTTTTTGAAAAATCCAACTACGCCGGCAGTTGGGCTACCCAAGACGAAAATCTAAATTTGTATACATTTTTTTCTTGCTGAATTAAAAAGTAGACTGCCTAAAAATTCATTACAATGTCACCCAGTGCAATTTTTCTCCATAAAAATCCCATTAACGAACCTGATACGTCAAATAGATTTTTTTAAATTATTTTATTGGTAAGGAAAGTATGTTCTAAACGAAGTTTAAAATAAAAACGAACACAACTGCATTGCGTAGTAGCAAATGATCATGGTTGCACAATCTGGTCATGCTGCGTTTCACAATTGTTGATTATTACTCAGTAGTATTATAATAACGTAAAAAATTGTTATGAAATGCAAATAAAATTCAACTTAGTTTCATCGTAAGCAAATGTTTCCGGTCACATATAAACGCTCGATGCTGTCGGGTATCCGCTATGTTCTTCTCTTGCATGTGTTGACCTAATAGGTTAAATCACTAATTAACCAATCAAAATGCTGGATGATGCCAACATGTTCAAATTACCATAGCTCATTTAAATATGTTAATGTTATTGAACGCATCGCGGAAGAGATTTGCCGATGTTGTAGTACGATCTTTTGGTTTGGATTTTGATGAGAAAACGACATGATTTTTCTTTTCAAATAAAAAAATAGTTGTTTTCAAAAGATAAACTAAGCATTAAAGAATACTTTAACATTGTTTACAGTGATAACAGCTCATTGTCGAAACGAAGACTTCCCATTCATGCTAGTCACAATAAACATACTCTGAATAAATTTTAGACGTCAGGAAAGTTTGAAATGTCCGAAAAATGACACCAAAATATTAGAAAAAACAACTTTAAAAACTGCCAAAAAATCGTACTGTTCGATTTCATGTTCCCATTTTATTTTATTTTTTAAACGCAAACCACCGGTCAATGGCCAAGGGCAAATTTACGGCAAAATCCGGTATATTCAGTGACATGCAGCATCAATGCATTGTGAGAAAAAACTGTTGATTGAATATTTCAACTGCTTCTATCTCCCACTCTGCAACAAATATAATCACAATGCAGTCTTCAAGAGTTCAGGCCATATGAAATTATTGTTTAATTTTAGTGGTTTACATAAAATAATGTACAGCTATTAAAGTTACATGTACTATAAATCCATTAATCCTATTGGGTTCACCAACGGATGGCTTCTCTGAAACTTGTGGCTTCATTCTTTGTGTGTCTGAATTACAGCTCCATTAAGTAGCATTCAATGGGGGCCCCTTGTTAAGCTACTTACAAGATTGTGCCTGATTGGCTACCCAGCCCTAATATCAGTCAGACCAATCAGAAAGGTTGTTGTCAGGTTTTTTCGACGTATCAAATTCTGCCTTGTATATATGCTTTTACTAAACTCAACTGTCCAATGGTACAGAGCATGTGGAATTGCTACAAAAACCCACACACTTGTTTGAATGAGTGCATAAGAGGGAAAAAGCATTAATGTGTATGTGATTTGAACATAATGTTTTTCCTAATAAATTAATCATTTATTTTGTTTTGTGTTTTTCAGTTGGAATGTTTAAAATTGGTTGCTCAGCCGAGGTTTACAGATAAACGAATTGGATATTTAGGTACCACGTTGTTATTAGACGAAAGACAGGATGTACATCTTTTAGTTACCAACTCAATGAAAAAGTGAGTTTGATTTTCAAATTATAATGGCTACTGATACAGTGTCTATTACTATTGTGTATTAATTTACTAACATTAGCGATTTACAGTTCACTAAGTATTTATGCATCGAGGACATAAATATATTAGGATTAACCTGTCGCCAGCTATAGATTTTTTATACTGTAACAATAGATAGCAGCTATCTGTGAAAATCCTTAGAGGCTTCCAGGAGTAAAAAAAAAAAAATATTTCCGAGCTTTCACAAAATCAAATTTACACATATTATTAACCTCATGAATACTGGGCATGAGGACACTTTCCTGCACACAAAAGAAACATAAGAAACAGTTGCTTTGCTTCATTGATCAGTCTCATGCGAGCAAAGGATGTATAAATGGCGTTTTTACACATCACTGTTCTGAAATTGAAGATTGGAGCAAAATATTGTTTTCATCTGCTTTTTTAGCTCCGCTGTTTACTTTGTTGAGCAGAGCTTATCATATGAGTGATTGTTCAACAATGCTAGTGCGACCTTTAGGTGGTCATAGTCTCAGTGCTTGAATACATTAAAAAATATCGAGATGCACAATGACGAACATGTGTTTTCTGATTGCATACTATGTTCCATGCTTGCAATAACAGTATTACCGGGTATTATGCATATCTCAAAACCTATTCTTGGTATAGGAAACCATGAGCTCAGCAAAATGGTGAAAATTATTAGAACTTTGCCAACGTGGAAATAGCGCGTAATCACTCCATATTTGGAATTCACTTTTCCTAATATGGTATGATGCAGATACCCTGTGCAATACCTCAAAATTACGACTCGCTTTAACTTATGTTGATCCTTTGACAAATGTATATTAATAATTTGTATTTATTGCTGTTTATTCTCTATTTCTTCTCAGTGATATGAATCATAATACGCAGTATATCGTTGGTTTATCACTGGGTTGTCTGGGTAGTATATGTTCACAGGAGATGTGTAGGGATCTTGCTGGAGAAATTGAAAAACTCATGAAACAATCAAATGCCTACATTAAAAAGAAGGCAAGAATATTTTTTTTTTTATTTCCTCATTCTTGTGTCAACAACCACTCTTGCAGAAAGAGATCTACATTACATTTCACCATTCATGGATATCAAAGTTGTCTTCCCTTATCTTGTATAACTCTTGATATTATTTATTTCCTGTGATAACATTGTTGATTATCCGTAATTCTAGGCAACACTGTGTGCGTTCCGGATAATACGCAAAGTTCCAGAACTTATGGAAATCTTTATTCCAGCAACGAGGGCATTATTGAGTGAAAAGAATCACGGTAAGGATGAATTACTTACATATCGTAATGTCCTCTCCTATCTTCTTTTCAGTGTGTAGCGACAATGTATACCAATTCCCACCGTTGTACGGAGAGTTGTTTGCTGCTGTTAACATTATTAAATATGTGTTTCTGTTAATAAAACAACTTATTGACACCGTTATAACAGCAGATTTTCAACTAACACTGATCATACTAAGTGGAGAGTGAGTGTTTTTTCCTGATACATACTGTCAAATTGACAAGATTTTATTGATTGTACCCGGTAATCATTCCCATTTTACTTTTAAATGTTAGGTGTGTTATTGACAGCAGTGTCTCTCATAACGGAAATGTGTGAAAAAAGTCCTGACACATTGGCTCATTTTAGAAAAGTAAGTTTATCTTTTTTTTTTATATCTTATTATATAGTTTGTTCAATAGTCACTTTT